ACACGCCTCTATCGACTCCCCCAGCAACCCCTATTAAGTTTAAACATGTGCCTAAGTCAAAAACAAATCCAATTGCTGTCTCAGCCACTCAGACACCCGATAAATTCAGCACCATTATAAAATCCTTTCCACCACAATCGGCTAACAGTGCCTCAAATACCCCGACTCAAAACGAAGCGTGTTTGCAACTGCCCCCCAGCCCTCATATCGAGGCAGTTAGGCCGAATATGCCGATTTTCTCGCCGTTTAATAGAACTCTTGCTCCAGTGGAAGCAATGCGTCCCCCGACCCCTAACTTGTTTCCTCCACGGCCGTTTTGCCAATGTATTCCTCGTAATAATGTCCATACTGAATCAGTTAACTCATCCGATCGTCAGATTCGTTCCGGCGGGAATACGTTGCAGTATCTGCCCCGCGGATTTCCAGCTGAAAATGAGTTAGCTAACAATGGTTACCAGTTCACCTGCCCGTCATTCCCTCCCCCAAGTCCTGCCCCTGTTTATCCCTTCGAAACACCAGGTCGTTGCTAATTTACAGCAAAGCGCACAGAACGGCAAATACTATTGCTAATTTACTACAAGCACTAGAAGCAGACGCTCAGGCACGATGCTACTAAGAAGCCACTTCGCAGAATATGACTACTTTACCAGATTGTCTAACAAGACTGGGAGAAATTGTGCCCGGCAACAAAGAGCAACTTGTTAATAAGGATTCAAATAATAATGAGGCATTAATTGCCTTGGTTACAGAATGCTATCAGAACGAGATAACTCCAGAAATCTGCACTAAAACACGAGATTTTATATGGAAATCTAAACTACGGTGGTAGTTGCAATGCCCAACCTTAAAAGGTTGACAATAAGAACTTCAAAACAAACTGCGCATTAATGTGTTCATTAAGGGCTCTTCCTGTCTAGTAGGAAAAGACGACTGCAGGGCCAATCAGTTGCCTTCCCTCAACTGGAATATACCGCATATCCGAGGAACATTAAGGGATTTTGTCAGAACGCTTGAAAAGAACACCATCGATGGCTGCGTCAGAACATTTCCCTCAGGCATTTGCATTTAGCGCCCCAAAACATAGGATGATTTTGTTCGTCGGCCAAACACGGTCACCACGTTTACAGACTTGGCAGTAGGTGCACATATTTTGATTGTTTTTAGATAAAACAACTGGCCGCGGTAGGTGGTTGAATGAAAGGCGGCTCATCAGGAATCTACTTAATGACCTACTGGGTCTTACGCTTTGCCCTATCTGCGGGGGATACATCGAAAAACGGTATTCCATTGGCTGTCCACTGTTTGTCATCCTCAAACGCAGGTAAAGTTTCTCTTCCTTAACACGTACATATTCCATTGGCCACAATCACCGTTTTAGCAACTGCGATACTGGGGTGGTTCTATCAACAGAGATTAATTCGTTCTATGGGTCGAGGGACCCGTGCAGAGGACGATTGAAACGCAGGTGCAACATCCGTAGGGAAGGCCACTTTACTTCGAATTATCGCTAACAGGCATTCAGTTTTCAGGAGCTCTCACCGGCTCTCTAGATGTCTACAAGTTTCCTGTTACTACGTTGCATGCTATTGGACTCATATATATTATAGTTGTAATTGTCGTAATATGTTATTAATTACCTCAAATGAAACCTCATAACGTATTTTAGCAGTGGCTAGTGGAAGAAATTCCTGTCATTTGATGTAGCAGCCGTCCAAATCCTCATGATTGAGGACAGCATGCGAACATATTTTCCCAGAAAAATCTTTCACTTACACATTCAAAAAACCATCATTTTTCACAAATGTCTGCCAATCTCTCATGTCGTGTTATACCGTAGGGGCTATGTTAGGTGTCCATTTTTGCGCTTACGTGGACTGATTGCTGCTGTGCCACCATCACTGAGGCTTGGGAAACTTCGATGTGCCACGTTTAAGGGTGCCGCGGTAGCCCACAAATTACGGTGGGTAAACTTGCGGCTACAAGGTCGAGGTAGTAAGCGGCTCAGAACAAGCGAGAATAAAGCAACCTCCTCACATATTCTTGAATAGCTCAGCAAAATGGGGCGGACGCGTCGGGTGTCACGCCGTTGTCACGTCAGATACCTCCGTCCCGTCTCTACGGTCACGCCTTGCCACTTTGGCAAGTCCAGGTCGTGTTTGTAGGTATCCAAACCAGACTATTATTCCTTTAACTGTTTTCGATTTCCGACTACCTTTGAAATCGCCAGCATCATCCGCTGTTAGAAGTCCTGCAGTCAGACTCATGTACTCCTAGAGATACCCCCCAGTAAATGAATATGTGAAGCGCAAAAGAACAGAACAACTACGCAGGACGCATTTTTAAGATGCGCTCGCTCAAACAAGTCCTTCCACTTTACTAGCGCATGGTAAATATACAACGGAGATCCTGTCTAAATCCGCATTACTACTGAGGCATTTGTGGCATCGACTGGGTATAGTGAATAAGTGTCAAACCTTGATCTGGAACTTCGAGAGTATTCGAGACCAAAACTGACCGTCGCGTAGCAACCGTTTACACGACTTTCGAAAATTACGCGATGGACGTAATTTCATCGGTTGCTGCAACGACGTCCAACGATGAGCTCTACCCTGCAGAGAATATGCTAGATATAAAAGAAAAGAATTTTTGGATGACCACCGGAATATTCCCCCAGATGGTTATACTGTCACTGAAGTCAAAGACGAAAGTGAAAGAGGTGAAACTGGTTTCCTCAGGTTTAAAGTCAGTACTGGTAGGCTTAAACGTGTATAAAAATTGTTTAGCTTGAGAGTTCACCGGATGAAAAGTCGAGCAAATTCGAGACTGCTGTCGAGATGAATCTTCCTACTAATGACGGCCAGATACAAATAACAAAACTTCCTCTAAACGGTGTTGCCTGTCATCAAATTAAATTGACTATTCTAAGCGGTTATGACCATTTTGTTGCAATCTATAAACTTATTATTGAGCCAATTTAAAATTTTATTTTTTGTTTCGCATTTTTTTACCTTTCTACCCAAACCTTTAGCTCCGTAGCTTGATGTCTACCCGTTGCGGGATGCGGCCAGTTATTACATTTCGAAGCATTATTGAGCATGGTGCGCATAATCGTGATAGTATGTCGCGCAAAATGTATTACTTATTGCAGACTTTCTCATAATCACTTTCTACCCAAACGTGAATGCCAAATACGCGATGTACCTGAAAGTGTCGCCTCACTCTGTGCTTAGTATTCCCACCGGGACTTTTGAAGACCAACGAAAGTCTTGGTCTCGTGAATCTGGCCCACAGAGACTACAGGGAAGGACAATAGCTAAAAGAAATGTCTCTGTTCCTCAGAAACTTCGGAGCGTGAAAAAAGGTCAATTGGCCTAGGACTGCTTAACTTTTCTTTAGATGTAAACAGGGACATGTCAACAGAAGTTAAAGTGACTAAAACACGTCCCGTGACAGAGAAAAAGTGAGAAGAAATACGTTATTTTAATATCGTTTCATCAGTTGAACAACGTTATTTTTGCGTGCACAACATGAATCGTGGCATTGTTAGAATCTCTCCTTTTGACAATAGATATTGAAAGCCTCGCCTTCCAGAAAGACTTTTTAGTTTTTTTGCGTAAAAACGTTTTAATTTCGTAAGTTACTGCCCAGTAACTCAGTGACCTAACTTGTACGTTCTCTGAGTATTTTCTACCCTCAACCGTCAAATGCGTTCCGTTGACGACTCATAGTGTTATTTGCGGCTTATTAAATCAGACGCCCCCAAACAGCCGTCTAGAAATTTCATTTCTCATGACCGTGCGTTCTTAAAGATTGTACATAGGATATTTCTCGTGTGCATACTCACAAGGACTGCACTTAAAACAGTGAAACTGCTTCGACCGTGAGCTACCTTATTGTCCGGTTGTTTAGGAATGAGTACCGAACTGCCGCTGGTGTAGCTTGAACCAGCACGACTCATAAGTGTTGGTCTCAGTTTCACCTGATTTCCTTAAGCCGGTGTGCAGCGTCCGGCCAGTAGCGTCCATGTTGGTCGCGACCTCTGGAAGCATTTATTCTGTCTCAACATTCAGCCTGACAGTTCGTGAAACAGATTGCTTTTCCCGTACTAATTTGGTGTGGCGCCGGCTTAGTTCTAAAAAGCCTTGCCTCTTGTGTTATTGTATTGTATCAGTCACATCACTTTTTAAACAAGTAACCGATGAAAGGGTTGCTGAAACCTATGCCTAGACTACTTTCGACAACGATAGGATGAAGGATCTCACTTTACTGTCAGTAATCTGTGGATCGTGTCATACGGGAATGGTAGTAACGGAGGTTTTACGGGTGGGGCAGCACGTCAGACAGTAAGCTGACGAACTGCAAAAAGCGAAATTATCTGGATTTCTGCTGGAAGACTCATCGTACGCCTTCGTATGGGGACAAAAATGAGCGCGTCGATAAAAAAAATAAATGGAAGACAAATTTCCAAAAAAACGAACTTTGAGTAATGCTTCGAGGTCATGACAACTAATATTTTGGAAGTGTAATTTCCGTAACAGTTTGCAAGTGGATGCCAAGATAAAATCACATATTACACGATCCACTTTCTACCCACATTAAATTAGCGTCCTTCACTCTACCGCTGTCTCACTTTCGTAAACTATCCAAATCGGATTCTAGGTTCTTTTCGTTTTAGCTATATACCATCAGAATAGTCAGCCGCTATATTACAGACAGTTAGCGGTCTTTTGGTTCGTAGCGTGATGAGGAGTGCACCATTCGTCCCAGATTAGAATTAGTCTCGTTAGTGTTAAGTCAGTGTCGTCAGGTTCCCAGGAATGTGTTTATCTAGCAAAGGCCACATTGACCACCTTGAATACCTGTTAGTATTTCCTCTATCCAGAACGTAAGAAATCCTGTCTACACAAGTCCATAACACATTGACAAGTTGAATGAAGATACACCCGACTATAGTCCAGCGGGATGGCAAGAGGAATGCCGGCGTAGGCTGCTTTCGGCGCACAGGCTTTTATTGTTGCATTTAGGATGCGGCGAATTAATTATGATTACAATAGGCATATATAGGGATCATATCCTTAGAAAGTAGCCTCTATTGGCTCTTTAGCCACCTTTGGAAAACAAGATCACCAACCTAAATCTTAACTTGGACAAGGAATTACTTCGATATAGTATGTTTAGATTCTAACACTTCGATGGAACAACACGAGAACTAATAAGCAAAATCGTCTGACGACTAGTTAATCGACTCTCTACCAATCAATCAACTTGTCCCAGGATCAGTAAAAAAATTTGGGAGTCAGTTAAGACAGACTTAGCTAGTGCATGGTATATGGTACGCCCACTCTTCCAGAGATGGGTAGACGTTCCACCATTTAGGCTTAGTGAGACCGCACATGTCAAACTAGTTTTCCTGACCTCGGCAGAGGTTTCAAAAAACCGTTTAATATTGACATCCCCTTCTGGACTCAAGAACACAAGGATATAATCAAAGTAGCTGGGTTATCAATGCAGGATTGTGGTCTGTATGACATTTCGCCTCATTCAGGATTTTTGCACGTACGGAGAAATGAAGGACAGAATAGGGATGCCTAGAGTGGCCGAGACTATCCGCAGGGTCGTGCTCTGCGGACCTCGGCGTAGGATGAAGAAAGACCATCAGGCAGCTGGCAGAGTGGGCGGAGTGATAACTAGACACTGTGGCACTTTTCTCGTTTTAAGTGGTTTACAATGTTTAACCGTGGATATCGTACTGAAAAGCAAAATTAACCAGGAGCGTCATCGAACCTGGAAGGTTCTTAGATCGGTGATATCTAATCGGTTTCGCTGCAACAAGCTGAGACTTGCAGATAGCAGACTGCGAAGACCACCGTCCCGTGTTTACGCTCAAAAATACGCCGAAGCCCACATCGCATTATGACCTTTTAGTTCTAGAGCAATTGTCATCCTGATTAGTTCAACTGTGATAATGTGGAATGACTGTAATAACCGTTATGATTTTGGAAGACTAGGAGAAAGTGTCGCAATCGACACTTTTGGTTATCTCTTTTCCTGCCCTTCCCAAGCGTGCTTTAACTCACTTTCCCGCTAAGCCGTACGCTTTATATCAATTAACCATGTTGTCTGAAGTGCTGATATGAATGAGAATGAACAAGTGCCTTGGCCACTCGGTATGGAATCGTTTAGCACAAAAACTCATATGTGAATCACACATAAGTATATCCGCAAAAATATTTTTGTACAAATTACTAGAAGCTTAAACAAACTTAAGACATTTGTCAACTTCCCATAACGAAAGATCTGACACTTTCAGACGGAAAAAACATTTCAATGTATGCCCAGCGCAGGTTTTTGGCATGCTTAGTCAGTTCTCCCGATGATGCGCGAAGTAACTGCGATTTGCTGCCCGAAACCTTTACTTCATATTCTTTGAATAACTAAGTTATAACGGGCACTGAGACAAGTAAAACATCCGCGGAATTTTCAAAATCAGCGGCTTGGTGTGGAGAATAATCTGCTTTGATTGGCATAAATGCCGGATTTTGCTGATCAGCTGTCAAACCATCTGTGCAAATCACGTCCGGGTAAAAAATACCTAGGTTACTGCACGAACGTAGTTCTCTGGAAAGGATGCTTAGAATTGAATTCCTCGCATTTACTATGAGGAGAATTACGCCCCGAGTCTTGTGCTACATGTATTCCGGTTTGTAGTTTACTAATTCCCGTACTGCTTGAGAAACGCCGATGTTTTACCTTGTTCCTCTCATTTGGAAAATACATGCTACACATTTGTTCCAGTATATGGAAACTGAAAATTTTGGATCACCGTTTGTCGACTGTCCATCCACTAAACTACGTATACTTTGTCTCAAACAAGCTTCTACAATCTTTGCGAGAATATTCCTACGATATCTCAGACTCCACACGAACAACAACAGCTTTGGCATCCGCTTCACTAGTTTTGGCCCGAATCGGACGTCATCGTCATCCCGCTGAAGACAGTAGGGTCCGGCTTCGAAACTGGCTCAGCGCGCTCCATAATTATATGCACATGACTCAAGGAGCTACGATATCTGGTCTCTGCTGCTCGAGGAGACCGTATGTTCATTTTAGACCCACTGCCGTATATCGACATGCTTGAAAATACGCTCGGCAAAATCATAGGCTCGTTATACTAAGCACGGCCACCATCGTACAAAGTATAATATGGTAGTCTGGTTGAATTTTAAGTGTGCCGGGACGTGGTGGAACAAGCAATGACAGGTGATATCGCATCCTACGAACAGAGCTTAACTGTCCTCGACCCCGCCTTAGGGATAAAGTTCGGTTCGGAAACCGCTAGACGCGAGGTTTGGTCACACTGGTTATTGTTATCACCATTCTCAAGCGACTCCATAATATGCTTGACGAGACAGCGTGGCTCATGTAATTTCTAGTCAAAACACTAACATGGTGACCAAATAGTCAACGTAGTTTGTATATGAACACCGCCATAGTTCCTTGGTGGATAATGGAGCCATTGTATGGCCATTGGTACTGCTACGATAACCAGCCCATTCATGAAAATGTCTTCGATTGGGAATACCCTTCACGTGTGACGTTCGGTTTGAAGTCTGGAAAGGACGAGTCTTACCGTCCGTCCCATTTAATTATATCGTAAGACAGGTTCTCGATGGAACTCCTAAAGGTCGACTCGGTGTTGAATTTGCACCCGGACAGCTGTTAGTCGACCTAGATGAGGCTGGCACAATTCTACCATCATCAAGCATGCGGAACGTTGGCCGCCTATACAAGAGGTCAGTAAACCAGTCGGTTTACCCAATATAGTAAGGGTCGGAGTAGTTCCAGACAGAACCTCAGACATAGAGACAGTCCCCACGACTTGTGCCAGTTAAAAGACGTGGATGCTTTCAGGTGGCAAAAATACTGTTGCCAAGGACAGGGGGTATTAAATTAGCTTCCAGCTTCCTTAACGAATCATGACTTGTTCCCAGTGTAAGCGATTGTCTTGGCGACTGTGGAGTTGAACTCATGACCCGTTTCGAGGGTGCCGACAGCCACTTGCGATAACTCCTTGGTCCGTCACATGGCCGGCTTATGTTTGTGTGTACACGACCTCGGCATGAGTCGCGTCTGGCCTGTGTGGTTACAAGGACAACTTAGGTACGAGATACGATATAGCATGTCGGACTGCTCCTTGAGACTTAATCGGTCCTTGGTTTCTATGACTGCCGTACATGGTAGCTTTGGGCCGGTGCGAAATTCCGTCAGATAGTTCCACAGCAATGCACTCGGCCGTTTCTGAAACGTTCTTGATGTACGACAGAACATGCCATATCCTTGGTGGCATCCCTGCTAGGGTCCTCCGGGACGAACAAGTGGGCATCGGCTCATGAGCGCCTTCGAATAACCGTTCCGCATAAATTGGTAGCGGATATATTGGGCCTCGTGTTTTTTCTTCGGGGTTGCTGCAGTGAGTCTAAATCCTTTGAAGAACGTCCTCACCTAGCTTCGTTTCTGAGTCACCGGACGGTTGCCGGTTTGCTGGAGCTAGTGTCCGCGAGTCCCTAACGACGGTTATGTGCTCGTGTGTAACAAATCTGTCCAAGCTGCCCTCCACGGCATAAAAGGCCGAATATATGCGGTCACGAGAGGAAACTACTTGTCTTCGACTACCGCTACCAAAGAACGGACCTCGTTCCCAAGGCCACGCTCCGTAAACGCCACGGAAATAATGCAAAAACACCGTGTGCCATTCAAGAAAGACGGAGTTTGTCTGCGTCACGCGCCCACCCCGCGGGATCAGGCGCTGCAAATTTGCCTACGATATCCTCATAGGACGCGTTTTGTCCAGAATGTGTCTAAATACGGTCCGTGGAAATAGTAAAGCCAATCCTGAACCCTTGGTATTTAGCCCCCACCGTTTGAGAACACGGTAGCTCAGGCTCGTCAAATAGACTACCACAAGTCGACAAGCGTATACGGCACGCGGAAGATAATCTTCCTTAGTTGTTCGACAGGGCCGTTTTTGGACGCGCAAGACACCCCTGTCGCAAATGGTTATTACGCCCCTTACCTTTTGACTGCGACTGCGTAGTTCATCTCCCGAAATCTGAGCAGTAACTCGACGCTCTAGAAACGAGGTGGCCACGCTTGAAGATAACTTTGCATACGGAACTCAAAATACCGGGACTGACCGTTCTGTCTACCTCACATACTAGGCTGTACGGACAGGAATAGCCTGCGCCACAAATTGCACGCAAAGAAGCTTGTTGTGCCCGAATGCGTATAGGGTGTCGCTGACTGGTCGAGGCGAAGACACACGCGAGCGTAGGCGGCTACGGCTACGAAACGGCCACTAAGATCTGCGCAACATCGATGTTCAACAAGCGATAGCGGGGATAAGATTGTGGTCTAAGTGTGGGAGACTGCCTCGAAAATAGGTCGTCAGTGCTGACCAATAATGCCCGATGCAGTAAGAAACTTTACCTGAAATTTTGGCAAGGAAGGCCCATCCAAGTCATCCCTCGAAATAACTATCCAAATTGGCGCCCCAGCCTTAGTGGCCAAGGAGAAAACGTATGCCAGTGTCGTTAAAACAGGGGCAGGAGGGACGGTACGGCTGAAAACTTTCGGTGTCGAGGAATGGGGCGTCCACTTTGGCAGGGGCTGACAACGGCCAATAAGGCAGTCGCAGGAACGAACCTGGCTCATAATGATAAAGTGGGTATATGCGTCTCCTGTAACCGCTGCAGTCAAAATTTGAACCGTTTCATGTTACCAACTACAAAACCTACAGGAGTCTCATGGAAATCTGAGAAATGGAAGTAGTGTTGAGCATTAATTGGCCAAGATTTGGGGGATGTATCTACTTACAAGGCAAACGGCGAAAATGGGGTGACGGAAGTTAAGGTAGAAAGCAAGACGGACATTTCACTTTTTCCAAAAGTCCGGATTTAAGAGCAGTTTTCGTTGTGTTGCTTCATACCATTGCTGAATTGTCGAAAGAGGAACGATGGGCTGGGACGACCCTGGTATTTCCACAGCGCAACCGGCGGCGAAATTGTACAAATTTTCAGCGGCAAACTGGGTAAACCGCATTGCACCTTCTTTTCCGTCTTGATTGGCCACGTTATTTACGGCAGGGGTCTGGTTCACTAACTCGCTTAGCGGCTCGACGGATATTCCCAATTGCGCCATGACGGAGTCGTTTGGGGTAACAAGAGATACATCTCCAAATGGACTTGGGACTATGCTTTCGGCTTCTGCTGCATTAGTTCAGTGGAAAAACTGAGCATACTTGGTTTGAGGCCCGACACTTTGTATATTGCGCTGGGACGCTCGTTTAATAGAAAACCGAGGTAGTACCAAGAAGTAACCCCATGATCGACAAAACCAAAGTGGACTTCACACATTAGGGCCAATTTATGAATACCTGCAGCACCATAGCCCTCGGGTAGTGTTGCCTGGCCGGTTAGGAAGACGACGATATGATTACTGCTCTCCAGAGATGGCAAGTTGAGTAAAAACTTCCCTTCGGCAACTATCGCAAAATCGGTTTGGACCTAGGGAGGTCGTTAGGTGCACGACAAGACCAACGGGTTTCCCAGTAACTAAAGCCGCAAACATATCGCCGAGCGGCCCGCGCAGTGGGGAAACGAGTGAACCCCTAGGCGGTTGCGTAACGCAAAAAGCGGAGGTTCAAACTAACCGCAGCTAAGATCCAGCGCTGGTAGCGTAATTAAACGTTTTCATCTGAATGTTGTGATGCTATGATTAAATGATTTTGCCACTAATTGTCCCGAACAATCCGACCTCTTCTCTTCAGCAAATTTTGCGCTTTTAAAAGCTAGAAAGAACACTGGAGAGAACTGACGTTCGACGGCAGTATCAAGACGCTCAGTTGGAGGAGGCAACTGTCTTTATCCAGTTGCTTCAATTCATCAACGACACCACTGTGAAATTCTACACTCCGTCAACGATAGATGCACAAGTTTCTTCCAAAAATTATGGATTTCTGAATATCTCGTTGATTCACTGCAAGAGTTTTAGTGGGCATTAAAGCGAAGATTGGTACAGCTCGACCGTAGCGAACGACGATGTCCACAGCATTGTGAACTCAGAGACAGCGACTTGGGAGTAAGTTTATTTATAGGGCTAGCTGACTTACATTACATCTGCCGTACTGTCTCCTCCTTCACCCACCAGCCCCCGGTATGATCACAGTCAAGACGACTGAAGGCTGGATCCGGCGCGTTGGCCGACATGGCCAAATCACTTGTCTGTCCCTGTCGCACGATGGTCCCGATTTTCAGAGAAACAAGGTAGGGTGGCTACTCAGATCCCAAATGAGAGTGGGGATCATACAGGCTACGTTAACAAATATCCACTGCAGCATTTTTCTCCGTCCTGAGAGGAGGACCCAGTTGGCGTCCTTCCAAGCCACGGACTTTAGTGAATCCTGATGATCAGATTGTTTGTAGTAAAGGATATGAGTTAAAAGTTGTGAGGCCGGCATCCCCTTGTTCGACCTCATCCTCTACTCGCTCTCCATGTTTCAACCCACTCCGAGCTGGCCAGCCATCTTGTGTTAGGATTAAGCGCAAGTGGCTGTCAGAGCTAAACAGTCTGTCCAGGCCTGTCATAGAAGACCTGGCCCCCGGCTCAACACATCAAGTTTCCAAACAAAGGGGTTTGTAGACCAGATCTCGCATGCGCTATATTGCCATCAATGTCACTTGATAAAAGGAACTTACAGCACAATTACCACTGATGTATGTATGTATGTATTTCAGCGTTCTGTGCGGAGCCCTGGTGATCCTATTGGCTTACGGTAGAGCTTATAAATGCAACTATTTACAGTCAGCACAAAATATAGTCATTATAAAGTTTGCCGAACCACCACAGTAAACGTGCAAGGATGCGTTATGTACGAAATTAGATCATGTAATAACCCTCGCGGCTGGCCCTGGGTAGCTCTGCACTGGACGCCGTCAGTCATCGAAAATATGCTGTCCATGCTATCAAATTACATTTTTTATTTACTTAAGAGTGAGTTCTGTCGTTGAACTATCCAACGACTGGAAGGAAACTTCCGCTGGTCTAGGCGCGTACGTTCGTGCTTGACCTTGTACGGATGAACGTGCAAGTGAATTGTGTCTGCATACTCGAAACACTTTCAGATCTGAGCGCAAAATCATGACGGTAGATAGCATGGAACGCTCACAGTGGGTTGTGCCTCACTTGTCTATAGGTTAAGACATATAGATTGGGCTTGATCAGTCTTTCAGGACATGACAGAGTCCTAAGACCTTCCACCACTTTGTGTCTGTCGTTGCACCTGCTCTATGGGATCATCCAGGACACCCATGCTGGCAATCCGTATTCGAACTGAGGTCTGGCGGACGTGCTAAAGATCTTTGGGAGGAGTTCAGGGAAAAAACTAAGAAGTCCCCCCTAATCTAGTGAATGGCGCTCCCTGATTTTTGAACGAGGATAGCAAGTTTGAACATGTCCAGACATCTAGATCGTTGTGCGCGTCCACATCTTTTAGTGGAATCCACTAGCAGACATCAGTTAGAGTCGTTTTTCAACGCAGTTTAAATGGAAGACCCCGCGGACGGTCCGTCCCAGCTTATTCGAAAAGTTCGTCAAACTCCAGGGTATATTCCCAGCCTCCAGCATTCCGGTGATCTTCATTGTGGTCAGTTAGCAGTTGCCTGTAATGGGAGGAAACAGACGAAATTCAACCAGCCTGGCTTTCTAAGGCAAATAATCACAATAACTTTTATATTTAATGCCAATTTACGGGCACTGTCAATGAAAAATAAAGCACGGGTCGGGCTAACGGGGAAAAAACTTTTGTTGAGTAAATACAGAGGATGGTGTTTTGTATATTTTGGATGATTCAGGAGAAAAGAGACTGCTGCCTGTAAAATGATGCCAGGCCAGAAAGAGATGGCTAACACTGCATCAGATATTTTCAGTCCCAATTCCTTATTACGAAACTGTCACTGGACCAAACAGAGTCCTTGAAGAGCAATTGCCCGCTCTCGGCTGAAGAAATGGTCCGTAGTGAGACAGGCCAGGGGGATCAGAGACCATGATTTCCATCATTGCGGTAGACTAAATCGGTGCATTCGGCAAACAACATATGTGGAAGATTTTCTGAGTGCAAAAAAAAACAAGTGATAGTTCTCTTAAACAAAGAATAATTGTGCAGAATTTATGCATTCCTGGGTAATTTGTTCGAAACTGTAAGTGGGTTTTCAGGAAAGCACCAAAGATATTTAACGGAACGTGCCAGATTAAGAAGGAAAAAGACCTCATGGCGGTTGAGGTAAGAGAAGGGAGCGTGCTCTGGGAAAGTAATCAATTTATTCTCAGCCTGCGAACGCGGGTTACAAGTCGTCAGGAAGGCTCCTCATTCATGTTGGCCCTGTGCGTTCCGGAACACTCTGGCCGCTGGTGTGCCAGCCGTTGAGGGCGTTCTAGAACGTTCCCACCTATGACGTGCCGGTCACGGACTGGGCGCCGCGTGCGCGAGAATTCCCCCACGGAAAAGTCTTGAATGCTCGACCAGCCGTTACTTGGGCCGCACGCATGGTCAAAGCCACCAAACGTGCTCGGCGATGCAGCATACGCTGACCAGCGGTCCAACTTCATTCGTGTATCACGCCGTCGGCTGGCCCTCTGTTCACTGCCTCAGGCTATGGCTCTACGCCGCTTGTGCTCTCCATAACATCTCCCGCTTTCGAAAGTTGGACCTCGTGCCTCTTCTGCTTCGGGTCTAAAACCAGTTTCCTTGGCGGCTGCGTTATCTGTTGCTTCCACGAAAAACGGGTAGTTTTGGCTGACTATCTACCTTGGGGCCGGTAAACTCAAAGGTATCACCTATCAGGTCGAACGCAACTTCACTGTCGGTGGTGAATCTAAACCTGAATTTGTTAGCATGTCTTTTGATTTGTTCAGATGTTGTCTCCACCTCGAACACAAAGGCTCTGGACTTTCTTATTATACTCTCTTCCCAGGGCTCCTTTCCGGCTTTGTATTTGGGAGCAAACACTTCTTATCCCTCCTGAAAGTAGCGTTTTGTCGTTTGGGGAACTCGAACTTCTGGTTGTTGGTACTGTAGTCATTTATCCGCTTGTCGTCCCAAAAATCTCTCATTTAGTGTCTTGCCCCAAGATCACTTTTTGGAGTTGTTCTGTAGGTGAAAAGGAATGTGTTCAGGTATCCCGCTTTAACGCCAGTGATCTACATCTTTATAATTGTTCTCTTGAAAGTGTCGACAAGACTATCTGCCTGGCCAGTTGATTGTGGATGGAATGGTGGTGACGTCACATGTCGGATCGCCCGTTTTTGACACATTTGTTGGGAAAGTTATGACGTGAACTAAGTGCCGTTATCCTTCACAATCTCCGTGGGGATGACGCCTCTTACTATGAGCTTTTCCGTCTTCCTCGTGATATGAACAGTTGCTGCTACGACGTCGAAACTTTTAGCCACTTTGACCTTGCATCAGCGACTATTAGAAACATTCGATGGAATGACGGTTCCGCAAAGTCCATGTTGACTCTACTCCAAGGACTCGTCACCTTCAGACATGGCTCGGGCAGTACTCTCAGTGGGTTCTTAGCCTCACGTCCACGCGGGCCGCAGCTTCGAAAGAAAGATTCCACGTTGTTATCAATTACCGACCAACACAGGTACAGTCCGGCCAGTTGTCTCATGCGTTTCGTACTCTGATGTCCGACATGCGGCTTCCGCAGAACTTGTTGCTGATATCTAGCAGGGATCCTCACTTTACCATCATGCATTATGTAGTCTTCTGTGATATATAACTGTTCCTTTCTTTTCAAGGAGTGCTTTATCAATAAGTGTACTTTATCGTCGCTGGGCAGACCGCTCCGAATAAATTCCTTCACCTGGCCCAAGGGAGGGTCTGCTGCAGTGGTGGCCATGATATGTTCGGCTATGAGGGGAAAACGCCGGATGACACCTCTAAAGTCGTCCTCATCTTGTATTATCGTGCTGGAGACATCCACATCTTCTTGATTTCCGTTGCCTGTTCGCAGTCGTGATAAGGAGTCCGGAGCTCCGAACTTCTGAGTAGGCACATACTTGACCGTACAGTTATGATTTTGAGGGACCGTACTCCAGCGTTGTATTCTTTTAACTACGTTCTGGGGACCAGTCAGTCAGTCAGTCAGTGTATTTGAGGGAAATAGGCTTACGCCTTTGAACTCCCTATTTGTACATAAAAAATTCGATAAACAAGCAAAAATGTAAAGAAATTACAGCATTAAGTGAATGCATACATTGATTCACATATGTCACTAGTCACATGGCTAAAAAGTCACATAGTCCGCTTGTTGCTGCAACATATATCTGTCAAGGCGACATTTAAATGCCTCCACAGATTGAGACATAACAACCGTCTCGGGCAGGTTATTCCACGGTCCCACGACACGGTTGGAGAAGAAATATTTTCTCACATTCAGTCTACCCTGTGGCACACGTAGCTTGAAGGGATGTCCCCGGAGGTGAGTTGTAGTGGCGAGTTAGAAAAAGTCATCGCGCCGAAGGGCACAATCCAAGCCGCGCACGATACGGAAAGTTTGTATCAT